GGGTGTAATAGTAAAGGAGAGACAAAGTGTATGAGGGTGTAATAGTAAAGGAGAGACAAAGTGTATGAGGGTGTAATAGTAAAGGAGAGACAAAGTGTATGAGGGTGTAATAGTAAAGGAGAGACAAAGTGTATGAGGGTGTAATAGTAAAGGAGAGACAAAGTGTATGAGGGTGTAATAGTAAAGGAGAGACAAAGTGTATGAGGGTGTAATAGTAAAGGAGAGACAAAGTGTATGAGGGTGTAATAGTAAAGGAGAGACAAAGTGTATGAGGGTGTAATAGTAAAGGAGAGACAAAGTGTATGAGGGTGTAATAGTAAAGGAGAGACAAAGTGTATGAGGGTGTAATAGTAAAGGAGAGACAAAGTGTATGAGGGTGTAATAGTAAAGGAGAGACAAAGTGTATGAGGGTGTAATAGTAAAGGAGAGACAAAGTGTATGAGGGTGTAATAGTAAAGGAGAGACAAAGTGTATGAGGGTGTAATAGTAAAGGAGAGACAAAGTGTATGAGGGTGTAATAGTAAAGGAGAGACAAAGTGTATGAGGGTGTAATAGTAAAGGAGAGACAAAGTGTATGAGGGTGTAATAGTAAAGGAGAGACAAAGTGTATGAGGGTGTAATAGTAAAGGAGAGACAAAGTGTATGAGGGTGTAATAGTAAAGGAGAGACAAAGTGTATGAGGGTGTAATAGTAAAGGAGAGACAAAGTGTATGAGGGTGTAATAGTTCTATTGGTTAAATACTCTGCCCACCACACAAAATTTTAAATTCATATTTATTAAGGAAGGACACAACTGCAAAATTGCAATTTCCGCAATTTATTGACTACACTCTGCGATTTTCCACGAACGCATTTCTTGACATTTAGAGTGCTTATGTGTTCAAAAGCATTTACAATAGCAAGCACATGGGTCAGTCTTACATGGGTATTGTGTTCTTATACAATAGGAAAAAATTCCTATGCAAATATCTGTGTTACTCGTGAATAAAAGAACAGAGAATGTGTAATAAAGTGTAGTAAAGAATAAAGTGCTAAGGTGTGTTCCATGGGTTAATGAGAACGACTCTAATGTTTGTACTCTATTATCCTTCTTCTGATCTCTTGTACTCCCCTTTCTGGTCCTTGTTTCAAGACTATTTTTCTGTTATTTGTGTGGTCTTTTATCCATATCTTCTGAGAGCTCTTAAACATTATTTTTATATGATTTAACACTGTTTTGTTCATTTTAAATGTTGGTTATGTTGTTGTTTTTTGTAGCTGAAGCATTACAATGGTGAATTTACTCAAGTAGAGATCTGGTTTAGATTTGTGTTCTTGGTAATGGCATTCATGGTTACAGTGAGTAAAACAACTTTTTTCTAATATAAATTGTAACATAATGGTTTTGGAGTCATAGTGTCAATTTTACTATGTCAAGTACAAAATTGTTCAAACTATAAAAATGTCTGGTAAATTGTCTTAAAACCCATGTTGTTTTTATTTGGTAAAGTATTGTCAACATGCAGAAATAAACAGTGTTCTTGATTTGTGTTATTTACTTACAGTGTCTGTTTGCCCATTCACTGAGAAGGTTCTCCCTGAAACACTGGTCCATTGAACAAAAGTATGTTTGATCACTCATTTTAATGTCTAAAGTCATTTGTGGCCACAGTCCCTCCACTAACTCCAAATAAAGTCCATAACATCTCATTTACTTTAACAAACAATTACAATCGGTGTTACTACAACTATATAAATTTACAAGACAGAAAACGGAAGAAATATAACGACTACTTACAAGATTTGTGGCGACTACGACTTCGACTGTGACAATGGATATTACGAAAC